AGAACAAATATATGTTTTTAACGTGGTACGATTCAACAAACTGGTGTTAATTAATTAATTAATTAATTAATTAATTAATTAATTAACAACTTTAGACACAACCTCGTACCCAGGGCTACTGACTCGCTCGGCCACTGACACATGTCCTTCATGCTTTTCATGTCATGCAACCTTGGAAGTTGAACTCGATTGAGAACTATTTGAAAAAGTATACGGAATATATCAATTGCACATTTAGTGGAACTGTTGTGTACACTGTCGTTATATTTTGTGTAAATTGTGTAAAGTCGTAATATATCTTTGTTTGCCCTGATAGTTCTTAATGAACCTTGATAATAATAAATACATGATGTGGCAGATACTGTGTAAACAAAACGGTAACATTGGTTTACAATCATGAATTCAATCTCGTACCCAGAGCTGGCTCTGGGTGCGAGATTGGCTATCAATTAAATGTTCATGAAATTTTAAGGCAAAAATTGTGGCAACCTAAATCCCCCCCTCCCCCGCCCCCCAATATTTCGTATTGTGTCCACCACTCGGTTCCTGTATTTACTGACTCCTGGCTGTTAGGCATGCCCCCACACACGACAACGAGGAGATATTCTAGTTTATGTTTTTAATGGAATAAAAATTGCTACATACACAGATGCATTAAGTATATAAGTGGTAAGGATATTATGAAGGTTATTATGGGTGAGTTGAGTTCCATTACAATGTACAGTAATTTAGAATGCTTGGAACTTGAAACTCAACCTCGTTCCCAGGGTCTCCTGGGTACGAGGTTGCTTGAACCTAAACTGTATCAGGTGGAGACTGCATCATTATGTCTCCAGAACTAATTTGTCGAGTTTCAGTGTTATATTCTTCTGCTTTCTCAGTCACAACCACCACGACATAACGACCTTCTTGTGCTTTTTGTGCTGCGTTCTCAAAAATCTTTTCGACGTCTTCATCATCATCTATTACGATACGCATCTTTTCACAATTAATCATATCCTCCTGTCGAAGCTGGCTCGCTTTGACGCGTGTTCGACGTTCAACTTCTGCTTTCAATGCCGAGAACGTGAACTCGCCCAACGAGCACGTACGTAAATCTTCGTTCTCTTTTCTTGCAAAGAATTTGATCTTTTGTGCCTTTTTACCATCAGTTGAATCTTTCGCTTCAGGAAACATGTACTTTTTAGCGTCGCTGGCACTCGGACGTTCGTTTGGATTCCTTCGACGCAAATCTTTTATCAGGCTACACAATTTCTTGTCATCTTTGTAAACTAAACTTTCATTTATGTCAACTTTGCCTTGTATTAGATTCTTCAACTCCGTAATCCATTTATTCTCATTCTCCTCAGGGTAACGGCTGATGAAATACAACACTGCTCCAGCACTGTAAAGGTCTACTTTTTCATCGTATGTTGTTGTGAAGAGCTCTGGCGCCGAGTATATACTATCCCCTTCACGTGCAGGCGTGCATTGCTCAAGTTGTGGGTGCAGTGTTTTTCCACACGACACATTAAATTGTATTCCCTTGTATCCAATACACCTTGCCAGTCCAAAATCGCCGATCTTGACATGAATATCACTGATTCGTTGTGGGTTTGAATTTACTATAAGGATATTGCCCGGATGAATATCACGATGTACCCAGCCGATTGAGTGGATAACAACTAAGCCATTTAAAATCTGTTGAAATACATGCTGATAAAATTGTGGGTCTTGAGCTTGGGTAACTTGAGGGCCAAACTGTCTATTCTTAAAGACAAACGATTTTAAGTCTCCCCAACACAATTCCATTTGAATACAAAGCTTTTGTACGTTACCAACTTCCAGAAACCAAGCTTTGAAATATTCGATAAAATTTCGTTTTGACTCTTCTAACAGATTCAACTTTATGAGAGCTTCGAGTTCTCGCGTTTGATATCTGTCATTGTTTGCAGTAAGCATTTTTATGGCATATGTTTTGCCGTCCTTTCTACACTTCGCTTTGAAGACTTGTCCATAAGCGCCTTTACCAAGCCTACCGTCAATCTGATAATCCTTGCTTAAAGCTTTTTCAAATTCCGCGTATAGCGCTTCTTCATTATCTGTAGTATCCATATCTTTAAAGAGGGAATTTCGTCCTAAACTAATGTACTGTAAATTATCTGAACTGACAACGTGTTGTGTTGTGATGTGTCCAAGAAGAGCTAACACGAAGAGGAAGTTCAAAAAGGTCAAACACAATAGTTTTATGATTAATTTAAGTTCTGCAAAAGCGTTCATGCATACCAGACTATGAGGTTTTAGATAACGTTTTCGATGTAGCCACAAATATAATGGGACGCTTGTACTTGTAAAATAAACAAATTTTGTTTTATCTAATATTGCAACCATATGACGTCATCCATGTTTGATGAGATGTTAACCAATGTTGCTATTTTTTAACGAAATAAAATTTAAAACCTATAACATGCGCTAATTTGCCCTGCTCAAAACAGTTATATAAAAAATGAACTTATGATATATATCTCTGCTGCCTGCAAACTCGCATGGATAACGCGGTCATTCGTACATCTGGCACCACGGTTATTAAGCCAGTTTTTCGAAACGTAGCGTATTTCTTCGTTTCCTGAGCCGTACCTGTAGGGTGGACTAATGACTTCGACACATAAACAAATTCTACGGTAAGTGGAAAACAGGCTTTAGGGCTGCTCCCTCCACATGTAACAACATTATTTTGCTTCATACTGTACTTTAATGAAATAAAAATTGCTACATAGTCTGAGTACACGGTTACATAAAATTAC